GGGTTTTTTTTTTTTTTTTTTTTTTTTTTTTGCTGCTTGGGGCGGCAAAAACGCTAGAGCCGGCCCTGGTCTACGCCGACTGCAAAGTCATGTTTAACATCCTGTTATGTTACTTCTACTGTAAGTTCTTTGGAGCACGGACTGACTTTTTCTGTATTTGTACAGAGTCAAGCACAGGGGGTCCTGGGCCATGACTGATCTTCCCAGGTGCTCCCTCAGTACAACTAGTAAGTCGTAGCTACTACAGCTCCTCAAAGTCATGTTCTAACAGGACCTAGTTTTCTAGTGAAGACAAGTCCTTACACAAGTAGTTAACAACCTCTTCTTTTTTTCTTTTGTAACTGAGTAAAGCGGTTTGGGTGCCCCAGGGCCAGGGCAAACTTGATATGCTACTCCAGGAATCTGACCACCTGCATCCTGAAGTTCTGGAGCGACTGCTCCTCTTCCATCTCCATAACAATCTGGTCTCACCATTGAGTGCATGTTGGCTGCTGCTGCTCTGAGAATTGATCGAACAGGAATACCTTACTGGCATCAAAGCAGGGTTTCTCCTCTGGCGACTTCCTCTGCTTGCAATTGTTCTAGCTGGCACCTTGGGGCCAGTCCAATATAGCAGAATCTGACATCATAATGGACAGGAATGGTTATTCCTCTGGGCCTCATCCATAGTGGCGGGGAGCAGTCTGGAAATGGCAGGGGCAACAGTTCAGTCCTAGGATACTGGGAAAGAGCAGGGATGATGAGTGGGTGACGTCTGCTCCCCAAATTCCTTTCCGAGTTAGCAGGTCTCCCACAACAGGCCATGAAAATTGCCCACAATTCAGGGAGCCTGGTGGCCGTGCAAGGGCCTCTGGGATACTTACCCGCACTGCACCATGCTTACACTGATGCAGTGTGGCATTGAGTGGACGCCAGGGATGTTGCTTGCATGGGTGCAAACACAATAGTGTGAAATACTGAAGAGAGGGTTTCATCAGTGTATTACAGGGGTGAGTCACAGCAGTACAAGCACAGTTTTCCTCCAGTGCAGTCTGTCTGCATTAGCCACATTGACAGAACTGCTCAGATGTGTGTCATAGGCCCTATACTCTTCAGCGACCAATAGAGATTCCCTTTTAGCTCAGATGACAAGGCTTTAGTTCTGTCCTTGCTGTTGCAGTGAAGTTCTCAGCAGCTGAGGGTTGCACCATACTGACATTGAAATCTTCTGTGGCCTGGCACTAGGCTGCAGAACTCGCCTTAACCATCCCTCCCTGACAGGGGCATCATTTCAGAAAAATTCAGGGGTATGAGGCTGGTCATGGGGGTTTACCGGGCTGGTCCCATCTCAGAGGGAGGCAGCCTGGTCCTATTCCGGGGAGGGGGGGCATGTTGGGGCGTGTCTCACTGGTGGCCGGCAAGGGGCAGAGATCAGGGCCTAACTCACTCTGTGGTCAGCTCTGGCCCATGCTACTGCTGCTGTTTCCTGCCTGGCCAGGGGGAAACGAGGGTGGTGCTGACACTGCAGCATGGGCTGGTGAGGAGCTATGAAAAAGCAACTGCCTCTCCCCACCCTATAGCAAATGATGCTCCCAAGCACTCCACCCATTCAGCCCTGGAGCAGGGAGGCCCTGGCCACGATGTCGTATCCCAGTGCCACACTGGGTCACTTGCAGACACATCCTCCCAGGCAGCGGGAGCTACTTGTTTTCATTGGCAAGGCCGTTCGTGGTCTATCCCCACCCTACCTGTCATCTCCCACACGCTACTTCTGTCTCTGCTCTGCCAATGCCTTGAGCCTTTGTCACCCCCTCGTTAACGTCTCCTATACCACCTCTCGCACTCGGGAGGAGCACGTCATAAGCCTCTACAAACCTACTCACCGCCCTCCGTTAAAACCCTCCTTCGCTGCAACAGCTCCCTACAAAAGCGCAGCGCCTGCTGTGCTGCGAGACAGCCTCCCAGCACTCGGACCAGCGTCGTCTTGTTGTTTCCTTCTGCTCCCCGTCGGTCTGCCTGTAGCCACCTGTTGGCTGTAGATTGCAAGCTGTTTGGGGCAGAGACCAGTTCTATGTCTGTACAGCGCCTAGCGTAATGGGGGGCTGGGCCTTAGTGCAGTGAAGACAGTGAGGATAATGGGGAATTGCTAACTTGGGAGCATCAAAAAGTTATGAGTCAGGCCTGGCAAAACCCAGAGACAAACACTGGGCGGGCACATGAGCCACCAAGCTACACCTGGCCCTGCTTGCAACTTCCTGCTGCAACCACCAGGGCTAGAAACTTCCTTAAAAAAAAAAGAAGAAGCCAAGGCCGCCCTCATCACATGACTCCAGGAGCCAGGCCAAGAAGAGAAAGATCAGCAGACGCATGGGAGTCCTTGTAGTGATACTGCAGGGGTAGGCAACCTATGGCACGCGTGTCAAAGGCGGCACGTGAGCTATTTTCAGTGGCTCTCACACTGCCCGGCTCCTGGCCACCGGCCCGGGGGGCTCTGCATTTTAATTTAATTTTAAATGAAGCTTCTTAAACATTTTAAAAACCTTATTTACTTTACAGACAACTATAGTTTAGTTCTATATTATAGATTTCTAGAAAGAGACCTTCTAAAAACGTTAGAATGTATGACTGGCATGCGAAACCTTAAATCAGAGTGAATAAATGAAGACTTGGCACACCACTTCTGAAAGGTGGCCGACCCCTGTCAAACTGCATAGACTTGCTCACCTAAAGCCCCTAAGAGACTACATCTCCCATCAGCCACCGCTGCCCCCCCTCCGACTTGGCATGCGCAGAGCTGCTGCGGGACCGGGATGGGCTGTCGCCGCGCGGCATGCCGGGAGCTGTAGTGCCGCTGTGCCGCCCAGGCGCTTGCCTGGGCCGCGGCCGGGGACTACATTTCCCGTGGGTCTGCGGGCGGCGCGTGCGCCCTGCCGGGGGAAGCGGCGGTTCCTGCTTGCGCTGGCTGCGGCCTGCCTGGCACTGAGGGAGGGGGCGGCCCAGGCCCCGGACCGGCGGCGGAGCAGCAGCGGGGCGGGACTATGGACCCGGCGGAGGCCGTGCTGCAGGAGAAGGCCCTGAAGTTCATGGTGAGGGGCGGCGGCGCCGGGGGGGCAAAGGGCCGGGGCCCCTGGTGGGCTACAGGGCGGGTGTGGGGCCGACTAGGGGGAGGGGCAAGTGATGGGGGGGGGCGTGCTGAGCTTGGGAGGGGGCCTGGGGGCAAATGGGGGGGAGAGGAGGACGACACCTGGGGCGGGGGGGAGCACTGACCTATGGGAGGGCTGGGGGAGGGGGTATGGGGGCAGGGTGGGGGGGAAGAGGAGGAGGACATCTGGGGGAGCGCTGACCTATGGGAGGGCTGGGGGAGGGGGTATGGGGGCATGTGGGGGGGAGGAGGAGGACACCTGGGGGAGGGAGGGGGAGAGCTGACCTATGGGAGGGCTGGGGGAGAGGTATCTGTTGGGTCACAGGAGGGGGGGGGCTCCTGGAAGGGAGGGGTAAGTTTTTTGGGGAGCCAGGCATCTGAGGGGTAGGTGAGGGTGGGGGGGATAAAGGGCTGGGGAACAGGACATGTGGGCGGGGGTGCTGAGTGGTGGGAGGCAAAGGCCTGGGGAAGGTAGTATTGGGGGAGGGGAGGCGATGGGTGGGCACCTGAGGGTGTAGGAGCAGGTGGTGATGGTGAAGAAGGTATTTGGTGTTCACCCTCTGAAACTCCCGAGTGTTGAAGCATGAGGGACACTTAGGGTAGAATTGGGTGGGGAAATATGCCAGGGTGCTGAGTCAGGAAGAGGGCAAGTTCTGGAGTATGAGAGACAGGGGTCTTGGAGGAACGGTGAGTGCTGGTATGGGACGACGACACCTGAGCCTTTGTAAAGTTGCACTGAGATCTTTGGCCGGTGTTGGCAGTACCTAGTGAGACAAGTAGTAGGGCTTGGGGTATCTTTTGGCTGGGTTGGGGGATGCTCGTGATGGGAATAGGGCTTACCTATAGAAGGTAGGGTTAAATGCTGGGATTTGGGTGCAAGAGCATGTGGACAAGAGACATTGCGCTGGGGGACAGGGAGGCACCTGCAGATGTGGCAGGAGGGCACCTGCAGGTATGTTTGCAATTCTCTGGTGGTCTTAGAGATCCTAAACAAGATTTCTGGCCTGATTTGGTGGTAAGAGGTGACCCCTCAAGCACTGGTGCCTGGGAGAGGTGAAGTTTTTGTTCTGCATGTAGTGTGTGGGGTGTATTAGTTTTATCTGCACATCTGCTCGCCATAGTTTTTTTGTTTTTTTTCCCCACCTTATGACCCTTGTTATCCTGGGTGCAGAATTGTATATATTGACATTTTAATCAGTTATATTTTCCTGCTATATATCCTTGTTAATAGCATGGATGTAAAGAGCCTTTATATTGTCTTGGTTTATAAATTGGCCTGTGGCACAGAAAATAACTTTGGGCATCAGTAGCCAAATCCGTTTTCAAATGTGACTGGTCTGTTTATATTTGGGATAATATACCAAATGAAACAACAGTTATATTCCCTTTTTTATCGTTGATATTTCTAGATTGTTTGCTTCAGTTTCTTGATGCTATTTTCCAACCAAACAGTGATGCCAGCTTTATTGAATGCTAATTTTAGATGCTCTAAATTGTTCTACTTCTAAGAATACATTTCAAGTGACTGGCAACATTTGTTGAAGGTTTATTTGTTGTGGATTAATGATTCAGTGGCACAGAATTAAATCTTTACTCATAAAGAACCTAAAATACAGCTATGCTTTCAAAACTTATGCCCAACGTGGAAATATTGAAAAACTAGATACAAATCTTGGCTTTCATTTGCACTTCAAAAGGTAGTAGAAAGTCTAAACTCTTAATTAGCTTCTGTTTTTTATCTTGTAGTATTGGTATCTGTTTTTAAATCTCTTGTTTCTGTTCAGATCATTGAATTCTTTGCCAGTTCTTTGTATTTTTGTCAGGTTTATGGAATCTCAGGCTGAAGAGGTTAAAAAGATATTGGATGTCAAAATATCCTTGGCAGCAAAAAAAATGCCCTCTCCATATGTGATTGACTAGAAGAGTGTGCCATATCCTGTTGGATATAGATCTGGCCATGGTAATCCACTCATTTGTGACCTCTAGGCTTGATAATTACAACTCATTGTAACTAGGAGTCATGAAGTCTTGCACCTTGAAAAAATTCCAAGTGTCTACTTAGTAGTACAGAGCACCATGTTGATGCTCCTGCTTCTGCATTGGCTCCCTATTGAATAGAGAGTCCAGTTCAAGGTCTCTGACCTGATATTTGGAGCCCTCCATGGTATTGACCCTAGCTATCTGATGGAATACCTGACCCTCCATGACCACAGCCTGGCTATGTTCTGCTGGAACAATGAAACATCAATGAATTGGGAGAGGTGTGTCAGTGTGGGGGAGAGAACTTTCACAGGAATAAGCCATAGACTGTTGAACTCACTCTGAGTGTCGAGTGACCAAGGACTTCACTGCATTGAGGAATAAATGACAGAGTGCTTTGATTTTTAGTTTTCCCTAAGAGTGTTCTTCACACACAGACATGCAAGACACACAAACAAACAAACAAAGCAATCAAAGAAGAAAAATGATAAACTAAGCATTTTCTTTTATAGATTGGAAGGGAAGAGAGACTTTTATTTGCAGAATTGCTAACAGTGGTATGTAACCTGTCACTTAAATCAGCTTCTGTACCAGTTGACTGGAGGATCACTAATGTGATGCCAGTTTTAAAAAAGTTCCAGAGGTGATCCTGGCAATTGTAGGACACTAAACCTAACTTCAGAAGCAGGCAAATTGGTAGAAACTATAGTAAAGAACAGAATTATTGGCCACATAGATGAACATGATTTGTTGGGGAAAGTCAAAACTGCTTTTGTAAAGGGAAATCATGCCTCACCAATCTATTAGAATTCTTCGAGGGGGTCAACAAACATGTGAACAAGGGTGATCCAGTGGATATAGTGTACTTGGACATTCAGAAAGCCTTTCACAGGGTCCCTCACCAAAGGCTCTTAAGCAAAATAAGCTGTCATGGCATAAGATGGAAGGTCCTCTCATGGATCAGTAATTGGTTAAAAGATAGGAAACAAAAGGTAGGAATAAATAGTCCATTTTCAGGATGGGGAGAGGTAAATAACGGTGTCCCTCAGGGATCTGTACTGACCAGTGCTGTTCAACATATTCATAAATGATCTGAAAATAAGGGGTAAACAAGTGGCAAAATTTGCAGATGATACAAAATTACTCAAGATAGTTAAGTCCAAAGCTGACTGCGAAGAGTTCTAAAGGGACCTCACAAAACTGGGTGACTGGGCAACACAATGGCAGATGAAATTCAGTGCTGATAAATGCAAAGTAATGTGCATTGGAAAACATAATTCCAACTATACATACAAAGTGATGGGGTCTAAATTAGCTGTTGCCACTCAAGAAAGTAATCTTGGGGTCATCCTGGATAGTTCTCAGTGTGCAGTGGTAGTCAAAAAAACTAACAATGTTATGAACCATTAGGAAAGAGAGATGGTAAGGCAGAAAATATCATAATGCCACTATATAAATCCATGGTATGCCCACAACTTGAATACTCCCTGCAGTTATGGTCGCCCCATCTCAAAAAAGATATATTAGAATTGGAAAAGGTACAGAGAAGGACAACAAAAAAGAGTATAGAACAACTTTGATATGATGAGAGATTTAAAAGACTGGGATTTTTCAGCTTGGAAGAGACGAATAAGAGGGGATACGACAGAAGTCTATAAAATCATGACTGGTGTGGAGAAAGAATAAGGAAGTGTTATTTACCCCTTCCCATAACACAAGAACCAGGGGTCACCCAATGAAATTAATAGGCAGCAGGTTTAAAACAAACAAAAGGAAGTCCTACTTCACACAACACAGTCAACCTGTTGCCAGGGGATGTTGTGAAGGCCAAAAGTATAAGTGGGTTCTAAAAAGAATTAGATAAGTTCATGGATGCTCAGTCCATCAATGGCTATTAGCCAAGACCATCAGGGATGCAATCCTATGCCCTGTGTGTCCTAAACCTCTAACTGCCAGAAAACTGGGACTGGATGATGGGATGGATCACTTGATAATTGCCCTGTTCTGTTCATTCCATCGGAAGCATCTGGCACCTGCCACTGTCAGAAGAGAGGATACTGCGCTAGATGGATTGTTGGTCTGACCCAATATGGCCATTCTTAAGTTCTTATCTTATTTATATCTGTTTGGGGGGTGGGGGGGTTGTTATATTGGCACCCTTCACTATAGTTTCTGTGCACTTCCCACTTTAATTAGATCGGCAAAGCAAGGTCCCTAATGGGACTTCTTGGGGTCTTCTGCTCTTCTCACATCCCTGATTATGGGGGCTCTGCATAGAGCAGGTTTTTTGGAGGAGGTACAAGGGGCAATTGTACATGCTAACCAGGCCATGCTGGAAAACTGGTTTGGTGTTTTCTCTATCTCTAAATGCTTGGGAGGTGCTTAGATATTGTGGTGATGGCAGCCATATAAGTACCTACATAGATCTGGGAAGATGCATTCTAGTTCATCCAGTGGCAGATCATCCACAGTATACTCTCCTGTACGTCCAAGTGGATGATATGCTTGGTATACCATCACTCTGACTGACTAAATGGGTCATAGATTGGGCCGAAGTGGGCCATGCAATTAATTATTGATTTACACAGCATCTTTCACAAGCGCCAAGGTGTGCCTTACCATATCAAATATTGAGAAACGCTTCATAACGACCAGACCCCCATTATCTACCCGGCTTCTGGTATTTTTGTTTTGATTGCAGAGACGCATGTAATTACTGTTTGAAAACAGGTCTGTAGGTGGTGGTATCTGTCCCTGTCTCTAAAATTGGTTTTCATTTTTAAAATGTTTTGTGCTTAATCGTCAGTAATGACATTGGACCAATTGCTAAGCCACTAGATGTCAGGAAGAAATGCATGCTAATTTTGTTGTTGTTGTTGTTTTCACACTTAGCCAGTGATGGAAAATGTTCTGTTGAAACCTCTTCCGGTCACTTAATGGATGAAATGAAGCCTTGTGTAAAAA